TTCCCGGGCAAATGGAGCCAGTGGAGGCGGAAAATCCCTGCCCGAGCCTGGGCTCAAGTCCCCGTCCACCCAGAGGCTCTGGGGGGTCCGACCAGACCGAGGAGCAGCCCCTGCACACACAGCACCCAGGCCTCCTTGGAGCAGAAAACTGCAGACCCCACTGCAGGTCACCTGGGGACTCTGGCGTGAAACCAGAGGGCAGAGGTTTAACTAAACAGATGGTACCACAGTGAGACATGGCTGCCAATTTCCAGGAGCCAGTCTGTTGAAGCGAAGGGGTGGGGGAAACAGCTGCCTTTCTAGAGGCTCAGCAAGCCCCTGCAGCCCGCTAGGGCAACAGAGAGGAGACCCTCGGGTCAAGGGCAACATGGTCCAGGAGGGGAGGGGGGCTGGAGTGAGAATCTGCCTCTCATCCCTGCTCTGCCACCGGCTCACGTGGACGCTGGGCAGCCCACTCTCCCACTGCAGGCCCCACTGCTCACCTACAGGGAGCTCAGATGCTCCCTAAGGCCCTTTAGCACTGGAATCTGAGGGTCTACAGGGACGTTCTGAAGCCGGGAGTGGCACAGGACACGCTGGCCCACCGTGGATCCTCAGAGCCCTCCCATTTCTCAAGCACTTACTGTGTGTCAGTCGAGCCCTGTTCACACCTCCCCCGTGCGCTTCCCACACACTGCCCTGCCAGGGGCCTGAGTCCAGCTGGCAGGAGGGGACGCAGGCAGTCAGAGAGGCAGAAGATGCTCTGTCCAGCTCCCACATCCGTGTTCCTTGAGCAGTAGGCTCCTTCCCATCGGCACAGGTTCGGTACTGGGCCGTGTGGAACATAATAGAGCCCATTCCAACGTCCATCCAATCACGTGTCGCACGATGCAGAGAAACTGCGATTTTGCACATTTCGGAGATGCTGAACAGAATCTCCTGTGCACACACATGCACCTGCAGAGCTGGCCAGGGGCCTCATCTAATCTGAGGGCAGCTGGGACAGCTCAGACCACCCTGACCTCAGGCAGGACACTGGTCCAGGCCTGGCGGACCAGGATGCACAAGGTGACCTTGGAGGAGGCTTTCTGCTTTTCTAGCCAAAGGAACAGTAGCCTGGTTGTGAAAACTGTGATTCCCAAACCCAGGCCCGTGGGTCTGCAGGCCCACAGGAATGTAGAGATACGAATCTTTCCAAGGACCCTCCTCTATCCTGAGATGATATCCCTTCTATTTTTCTGGTATTAAAATAACCTTTCTTTTATGAAATGCCAACCACATTAGATGGTAGTTAGATTTTTAGATTTTTGTTTCTTTCCTTCCTTCCTTTCTTTAAAATGGACACATTTAACAAAATTACACGTTGGCAACCCTAGAAAGGTCCTTCCCTTTTTAAAACTGGTCTGTGAAATCCCAGCGACTTGGATTAAGGTCCCTTCTAGATCGTCCTTTGTTCTCTAACACCACTTCCTGGAGGCCATGGCGTGATGCCCTCTGAGATCGCAGACTGCTCAAAAATCTTACGCCCAGAGCCATGAAACAGAATTCTGCTCCCTCCTTTCAAGGGATGGCACAAGCATTATGTGACAGCCTCCAAAAAGGGGCCCCGATTGTCCTACCCCAAGGCCAGGTCTCCCTCATGCCCCGAGGCTGAGACAGCCCAGGGCGCGAGAGTAAACCACAGTGGCAGCAGAAGGGACAAAGCCAGAAGGGACAGGGCCGACAGACTGACTTCCTCCCCGACCTGAGGCTGGGCTGGAGGAGGAAACCGGGGCTTCCCTGTGGCCGGCCCTGCCTGCCCCGCAAGGGGAACTTCACCCTTGAGGCAGCCTTGGCTGAGACCCAAACCTGGGGCCACGGAAACGAACCCCCGCTTAGATCTTAAAGCCTCTTGCCCATGGTGGCCCTTCAGGGGGCTCTGGTCCCAAAGACCCCCAGCCCCAGGGGACTGAGAAAAAAACAATGACTACGTGGACCACAAACTCCCAGCCTGGTTCAAAAGTGAATCACTTCTTTCTTGCTGAATAAACCTTCCCATGTGCACCCACCACAACTCGACTTCCCTAAAAAGGCACTCTCGGGAAGCCCGAAAGAGGAATGTGTGGACTCGGGGAAGTGGGGCAGGGGGGCTCACCCTGCAGGCGGGCCCTGTCTGCGGGGCCAGGCTCTGACCACAGGTCTGTCCGGGGCCCTGGCAGGGCTGTGGATGGGGGAGGGGGAGGGGCTGCTGGAGGAGGGCTCCGGCTGCGTGGCTGTGTGCGGTCAGGGGCCCCCCAGGAGAATCAGACCTGACCACCCTCCCACCCCCGCCCAGCCTTTATTAGGCGACTGAGGGGGGCAGGGCAGTGCTGGAGGTGCCAAAGCCCCCACCCCATGGGACCCCTTGAGTAAGACCTGAGCGCCAAGTGCGAGCGCCCAACCGAAAAACACACACGGCGTTTCGACCAGGTAGAATCCCCACACTCAGTTACCTGCAACTGTGCCTGTGTCCTGGACGAGGTGACTGCAAACATGTTGACAACAGTCACCGTGACGACGACGGTGGCTGCAGAGGTGGTAGCTTACCAGCACCGACAAAGTCTCGGCAGTGGGGTCCTCCCGTCCTCTAGGCCTAGGGCTGGGGGTCGCAGGAGGACTGGGGTGCTGGCTGGTGCCCCAGCCATGGGAGACCCTCAGAGGGTGATGGGTGGAGAGCACTCTTCTCCCCTTCCCCCAACCGAGCAGGTCTAATGCCACAGCCACAGGACAGGCCTCCCAGCCTCCCCAGTCTGTCCCCTCAATTCCATCCCCAGCATGGAGCCAGGGGAGCCCATGGAGGAGTCTGCTCAGATCTCCCAGGGGCTGCCCGGCCCAGAGCAAGCTGCTGTGACTTTGCTGAATTGGATGGAACAAATCCTTTCAATAAAGGCCTCAAGACCACAGGTTTCCCACTCAGCTCACTGAGGCCACCTGGTGGCCATACTGGGGAATGGCTCTGCATCTTGCCCCTGCCCCTCCAGAGGCCCTGGGATGGGCTCAAGGACCCCCATCCTCCTACCACTGAGGACGGCGTCACCCTGGCCTCTGGAATGGGGGTAGGTGGCTACGTGGGGAGCAGGTGAGAGTCCTCCACTGGCTCTGCTTCCTCCCTTCTCATTAAAACAGCCAGAGCAACCACCTCTAAACAGCTCCAACCACAGGAGCCTTCCCTCCCACTGCCAAGGGAGGAGAGCCGACCTACCCACCCAAACTCATCTCTGACAACTGACAAGACTGGTGGGCATCAAACCACCTGAACTGCCCTAAACTCGCTTTGCACCCTCCGGCTTCTCCTGCCTGACATGCCTTCCTGGGCTCTCCAGCGGGGTGTTCAAGGCCAGCTCGTAGGAGCTCTCTGCGCTCCACGCCTCAGGCCCAGCTGTGCCCCGCCGCACCCTCTGGGTGCCTTACATGACACCCAGGGCTGTGGAGCTCAGAGGAAGGGAGGGCCCGTAGGCTCTGGGAGTCGGGTGGAGAGGGGGCTCTGACAGAGCCTGGCCAGCGAGGGGTGTGGGGCCTGTGGGGCCTGGAGCAGGGCTAGGCATCCCGTTTTATTTACTCGGGCCTCCTGCTGTGGGGAAAACTCAGCCGCAGCTCTGCCCTGGCCCTGCCCTCTGGAAGTGCGAGGAGCTCAGCCTCTCGGCTCACTGCTGCCACCTGGTGACAACACACGAGACCATCGTGAGTGGGACCCAAAGGTAAGTCAAAAGAGCCTCAGGATACAACCTAACTGCTGGCCCTGGAAAAAACACATCTATCTTCCGAAGTTCAGCAAAGTGCATCTTCTAAAACGCCTCAACCCCCATTTCCCTCCCCACATTTGGCAGCTTCTTAATCTCTGCAAACTCCCCTCCGAACTGGACTCTGGTCTTGGACCCAGTCTGACCCTAGATGCCCTGCTCTGCCTCCAGCCAGGCACCCACCCTTTGCCCCAGTCAGGGTCTGACCCATGACCTTGAGCAAAGGCTGCCTGATTCAGTCATTTCCTGGACATGCACCCAGCTGCGGACTCAGCATGGGGGGCTGTTTTGGAGCAGGCCCCCTCTCTGCAGGGGCCACAGAAGCTGCCCCTGAGACTAGCTGGCAGCAGCAGAGAACACAAGGCACACACTGCCCCTCCCAGAACCATGGAGCACTCGCCCCTGCCCACCTGCTCCCGCGCTGCCCCTCCCACTCCAGCCCCAGCCTCTGCCCCGGCAGCCAGACAGTCACCGGGCAGGTCAGCACGCTCCACACAGGGCCAGGGCTGCAAACGCCAATGCCCAGCAGGTCAGGGGACCGGGCCAGGAGGGCCAAATGAGACAGAGCAGGGAAGGCTGGGGACCAGCACAGACTCGAGGCACATTCTTTCCAGACAGGCTGAAAATCCATATTTTTTATATAAAATCTGAGCTGTTACGGAAACGTTATTTTTATAATTTAATGAGTTATTCAAAAACAATTTTTAACTGAGCAGACCAAAAAAAACCCATCTGGGGGCCAGCCCGCGGCCTGGGGCAGCACAGACACACACGCATCCTGGGGTGACAGCCAGGACTCCGCCCGGCAGCATCAGCTGTTAAATACTACACTGCTTACCTGCTGGTCCTCAAGCAGCGGCTCCTCAAGACCCCAAGGACCTCCACCCACACACCAACCTACTGTCCAGAACCCCTGGGCCCCCAGGAATCTAAAACCTAGCGGGTTAACACCTGGCACCATGAGGGGGTTGGGTGTTCAATCCGGTTGGTCACATCTTTGGTCCCAGGGCCGCAGCAGTCTTCAAATACTCTGGTCGTCGCCCCTGCACACACCCCACCGTGCGCTGCAGCACCAGGTGGGAGTGGCCGGGCCTGGGCATGTGTCCATCTCAGGGATCACCTCCACTTCCAGAAGGTGGAAAAGGGACCGAGAGCCAACGAGGGGCCCAGGGGACCCCTAGCAATCTCAAACCCACGTCAGCCACAACCCGGGCTGTGCACACCCCGAGGGCACCGGGGCGGGGCGGGACGGGGAGGGCTCACCTGGCGGTAGGTGCAGATGATGATTTCCCGCAGGTGGTAGTGCATGGGCGTCATGGTTTCGCTGACCGTGTCCAGCGCGGCGTCCACCTCCTTCTTCACACGGTGCCCGTCGGGCAGCAACTGCACCACCGTCATCACTACCTGGGGCCGGAGGAGGGGTGGGTGAGAGCCTCGGCCCGGCACCAGCCCCGCCCCACCAAAGCGCCACACAGGGCGAGGGCACAGGCCCTGACCAGAGCCCCGCCTGCTCCTCGGGTCCCAGGCTGGGGCCCGCGAGGGGGCTTCCCAGACATCTCTGGGGCTGGGGTTCCCAACGTACCCTTTATTTTTCTTTCATAATTGAGATTTGTGTACAATTCTTAATGTAAGTCCTGAGAAATCTAAAAGCCATGTATGGTAATTCTTTTTAGATATTCCAGTGACTTTCCAGCTTAAAATCTGGAGGCAACTTTTCTTTAAGAGGATATCAAGTACTAATGTCTGCAAACGTTGATAAGCTGTTGCCTAAGTCTCACCAAGCCGTAATTTAATACCCGAGACACTGCGTACTCCAACTCCAACCTGCCACAGCACGTTAGGAAAGTCATCAGGAAAACCGGACCACCTGACCAAAGGTGTTACAGAGCGCGCGCAATTCTGCCAGGGAGAGCCACGGACAAGGAGTGGTTTTCTTTAGGAAAAAATTCTAATAAACGACATGGGAATAGAAGTAATTTTAATTGTTCAAGACATGTTAAATGCATGACTGCGACTCTGAACTGCCGTTCGGTATGCTTTGTGTACAGGATGTAAACACCGCCTCCCGCACACCTGTGGAGTGCTAAGCTGAGCAGGTGCTCGTTTCTTCAAGCCAAGAAACCTGGCTTCAAACGAAACCTCATCCAGAACGCATATCTATGAATCGGTTAGTTGTCACATGCTAGGGCTGGTGGGCTGAGGAGGGGGCGCATGACAAGTCCATGCTGGGGTCCTCCTGGCCTCCTCCCAACCCAAAGTGGCCCCCAGGCACTGTGGGGACGCCTGGCTCTGGGGAACCCAGCAGGGACACCGCTCACCTGATATAAGCCCCTTTCACTCCTGGGAAAACTGAGGCCTGGGCAGGTCACCCTGGAGGGCAGGGCTCTTCCCCCAGCCCTCCAGCCCTGCCCTCTAGCCCCACCTCCAAATCTGTCCACACTGCACGCCTCCACAGCCAGCAACCCCCCAAACACCCACACCCCCTCCCACCTACAGCACAAGACCCCCACAGGGGGCCCAACCCCCCCCCCCGCCCCCACGCCCCCCGGGGGCCAGACAGGTCTCAGGAAAGTATAAATGTGAGTCATTCCCAGGCTCAGCCTCCTCACAGCTCCCGCGCACTCGGCCTGAAAGCTGACCCAGGTCTATGGCCCGGCCCCCCTTCCTCTCCAGCTTCACCCAGAGCCCCTCCCCGCAGCCCACCCCGACACCTGCATGTCCTTGCAGAGCCCCGCAGTCCGTCGACAGCCACCTGCTCATCTGCTGCTCGCTTTCACTAAGCGGGGGATCCCCAGCACCTGGAGAGGCACCTGGCACCTGCTGGGCGCCCCATCAACAGCTGCCCCACGAATGAAGGCATGAACACCTACCCTGACTCGCTCTCGCTCTCTCTCTCGCTCCGGCTGCCCAGGGCGAACAGGGAAAGGGCTCTCCCTGCGTTTCTCAGCAAGGCCTGGCCCAGGACAGCGCACACCAGCAGGCATGCAGTTGCACCCCAGCGGGAGGAGAGAACTGAATAGTCTGGAAGGAACTAGTGGTGGGTTTGGCTCAGGCTGCGCCCAGGGGATGGGGAGGAAGCTGCCCAGTCAACGCCCCAAACCTGGGCTCTGAGCAGGTCCCCAGGAGGGTACAGGGGACTGTGTCCGCTGAGGGGCTCCTTGGGCAGAGGGCTACAGCTTTGCGCAGGAAACCCGACTCCTGGCCTCTCTTCTGAAGCTGCTCCTCCCCTGAATTCTACATCTCTGGCTGTCACCACCACAAAGCCAGAAACCCAAGGTCATCCTAGGTGCCCTCCTTGCCCCACACCCAGTGACCCCCAAGACCTACCAATTGGGACTAGGCTGCTCCTGCCCGCCCCACAGCCCCCCTCACTTGGCCCTGCCTGGCCCCTCCACTCCACGCACCCCTCCCACAACTGCCGGCCGGAGTCCCCACACTGAAAGTCCCATCGTGACCTCTGCTGCCTCCTTGCTGGCCTCAAGGCCAAGGTCAAACATAGTACGGCCCTCCAGGGTCTTCACAATCTGGGCCACCCCCCAGCTAATCACAGCCTTACACAGTTCCTGACCTTCCAGAATCCCTCCTTTGCATACTTGATCTCTGCCCACTTCCCTCACCAGCCACACTTGCTCATCTTTCCAAAACGTGCTCAACTATCACCCCCTCCACGAAGCCCTCTCAGGCTCCCGCTGCCACACCCTCAGCCCTCAGGCCTGATGTCTGCTCTGGGCTTCTCCATGCTCTAGAGCGCACCCCTCCAGACCGCGGGCTCAGTAAATGCCAAATCAACTGCAAAGGAAGCTGCTCCAGACACAGGACAATATGGGGGTGGGTGAGGATGGGGGTACGGGAGTATCTTTGGGTCACATGATGTAACTTTGGAACCCAGGCTCTGAGGTCCACAGCCACCTCTCCACTGTGGCTCTTGGGTAATGCACTTGGCTCCCTGTGCCTCAGTTTTCTCATCTGCAAACTGGGAGTGGTAAGGGCACCTACCCCTCAGGACTGTGAAGGGGGAAGGGTGTGCACACAAACTCCTAGCACAGGGGCTGGTGAGGAAGGAGTCCTAACTACCACATCCAAGGGAGGAACACGAAGACTAAGAATTCAGGTGGAAAATAAGCCCCTGCATATACAAGCAGATGGTTTTCAACAAGGGTGCTGAGACCACTCACTGGGGAGAGGACAGTCTCTTTGACAAACAGTGCTGGGAAAACAGTATCCACGTGCAACACAACGGGGCTGGACCCTTGCCTTACCCCATCTGCAAAAATGAACTCAAAATGGATCAGAGACCGAAACATAAAAGCTAAAACTATAAAAATCTTAAGATAAAATACGGGGGAAAAGCTTCATGACTTCAGACTTGGCAATGATTTCTTGGATATAACACCAAGAGCACAGGCAACAAAAGGAAAAAATAGACAAACTGGATTTCAGCAAAATTAAAAACTTGTGCAACAAAGGACACGCTCCTAACTCCCACAGTCCCTGTTATAACGCTGGGCACTTTAGGCCTCAGGGGCAGCCTCAGGAGACAGAATCTGACTTCTCCTGCCCCCTGGCACCTGCCCAAGGCAGAGCTGTAATCTGTGAGTCCAAAGACCCTCATTCCAGACAGGGTCCTGCCTCACAGCCTGGAGGGAGGAACGCTACACAGAGAGGCCAGGAAGAATCTGAACAGACAGGCCTCGCTGGGTTTAGATCATGTGCTTTTTGTCCAATCCCATTTCTACGAGGTTGTCATGAAGCCTCTGCAAAAACCCAAGAGGACTGGGTTTGGAGAGCTTCCAGACAGCTGAACACAAGGAGGTTCCCGGAGGGTGCTGTGCCCAGGGAGGGCATGGAGGCTCCGCGTCCCTTCCCCCACAGCTCGCACCATGCATCTCTTCATCTGTGTCCTTTGTAATATCCTTTAAAATAAACCAGTGAACATGTTTCCCTGAGTTCTGTGAGCCACTCTAGCAATTTCATCAAACCCAAAGAGGGGGTTATGGGATCTCTAACTTATAGCTGGTCGGCCAGAAGTTCTTGGAGGTCAGGATTTGCAACTGGTGTCTAAAGGGAGGGGGCAGTTTGGGGGACTGAGCCCTCAACCTGTGGGATCTGACACTATCTCCATGTAGACAGTACCTTACTTAAATGACAAGACGCCCAGCTAGTGTCTGCTGCTCAGT